GGGAAAGGCAAAAAAATTCTTAATTCTTTATCGACCTAGAAGTCGCAATTAAATAGAGAAATCTGAAAAGAGGACAAAACCTTCATCAAGTGTAACCCTTCAACAATCCACCTATTGTACTATCAAGGGCTCTAGTTCCATTGAATTTAGCACATAGTGAGAATCATATTTCACGGCGATATAACACATTTCGCTGAGCCAAAGGATTATGTAAAGCCGTACGAGAGGCTGCCCACTCTGATGTGAAAACTATTCGAATAAAGAGATGAATTTGTCCCATTGTAGTGACATCTCTCATTTCTAGAAGAGCTCCTGTTCATGGTATACATATATAAAAGGAATGAGAGTCAACCTCTATACATGGATTCAAGGATTCAATATCCACAGATGTTATCAATTTCCAGAACAAAGATTTTCACCAAATATAACCCTCACTTCGAAAAGTGCTTCACAATTCGATATCGAATGTCTAATTATCAATAATCATCTCATAGATTATCAATTTGCTAGCGATTATATAGCTGGAATTATTATACAGGGTGTTAGTGAATAAGTCAAATTCCGGGAGTTGATTCCTCGTGATATTTAAGGAATTAAATCTATATAAATACTCCTATATTCTATTTTCTATAATTCAATTATAGGAATCACGCCCTAAAGTTTGTCAAACTCATTCACTGACACCCTGTATAAGTATTGAAGGTACAGTCGTCTTCAGAGATCATGTCGCGGTTGGACGGTGTCAGCGCTCTTATTGCAGGAGTTATTGAGAATGCTATCATCGTCCATGTGCGACATGTTTTCTGAAGATGACTGTACTATCCAGAATCACTCTTTATATTATGGCGCTACCTCTGTTTCTCAATGCCTGTGGAATTTTCATAATTAAAAACTTTGAATTTTATCCCCAACTGAGAGTATCTTGTTTCATGAAAATAAATTATGTTTCTTTTACGCCCAGAGATACAATACTCATAATCGAATGGAAAATAGATATGTTTTTCATGGCGTTTTCTCCCTTTGAAAGTGAAGGAAGAATGAGCTCCAGATGTCTTTTTCATTCCTTTCAAAGAAGAATTTCCACGCGTGTGATCCTTCATTATCGGAATCCCAGAACGTCTTATGAATGAAAATCAGAAAAATAAAATGCTTTGATCGCGATTGGGAATATTTCAGTATTGAAAAATCTTCTATTCTATTTGATGAAAATTCATTATAAAAATGAAGAAAAATTCAATTTTCGTCACTGAAATATACCCTGGGAAACTCGGCCAAGTAAATCGTCTTCCTGAAAAAAGTCGAATGTGACAAGAAAATGTTCACCAACGGTAAGAAAATTAGATACTTGAAGAGTTATCTATATACTCGTACATTCCTAATAATGCGTGATGCACAAGAGACGCCGCATTCAATCGCGTCTCAGTCAATGATAATATGGCACTTTCTTCTCAACATCGAATTCTATTCCATATTTCAGACAAACATTAATTTGGACGATCTTCATTTCCAGCCATGTTTGTTTCTGCAAAGATCATCAGGTCAGTGATATTGAGTTGAATACGAATGATAATAATTGTAATTATTCATAATAATGATGAGTGTTATAAAAATTATCATCAATTCTGCTTATGAATGTATATGTAATCATTTATATCCGAAGTATTCATTATAGGTATGATTACTTACTGATTCGTTCATAAGCAGAATAGATAATAATGATTTGTATTACACTCATCATTATAATAATTTCAATTATTATCATTCGTATTCAACTCAATTCGAGTCACAGCACTTGTGGTGAGTGATCACTGGGACTATGTTTCGTCGTGTGCCCTGAGTGAACGCCATGATTACAGCGTATCTCTTCGTGTTTATAATGAATAAAGCGTGATCCATCAAAAATTACAGCAAGTATTGCATTGCAGAGCGAAGATTGCACTGTCGTCGATTGTGCGTCGTCCTTAAAGCACATTCATTGGGCGTTGTACATCTAAGTAGAACTTTCAACTCAAACCATGTTTATAATGATCCTTTTATACATAAATAATGATTGACGACATGATTCGATCAAAAATTTAACTGAAATGTTTTATTTCTGGACATAAATGATAGTACCTTCTGAAAACGGACCTTCTTATGACATAGAAACCTCATGTTGCCATAGTTAAAAGAAAATACCAAACGCTCGACGGAGACTGGGGCAACTGCTATATTAATTCTATCAACTGTGATCTCGCGCTAATTCACTCTGTCAGAAATCATGTATCATTCATATCTGTCTGGAATAGTCACATCATCGCCTCGTCCGCGGTCAGAGGTCCGAAAAATCGGGGATTTCAATAATTTTTTATAAAACGTAGGTAGCTCACAGCAAGAAACGGTTTGCGGTGGTGAGCTAGTTTGGGTGAGTTCTATCGAATTATGAAATACAAATTTTTCGTGATATAAGCTCATTGTTAGATAGAGTCCAAAAAGTAGAAAAAAAACTCGCGTTTCGTTGAGTGCTCCATACAAATATAACGAAATTGCTTCGAAAATTTATTTATTCGTGAAATGTCAATGAATCACATTCGTGCATAAATAATGATGACCAGATAGTTTTGCATTCAAGAGTGTTATGTTATACAAACTGCATTCGGTCATTTTCATATTTTGTAAAAAATGTTGAAATAAACTTACAATAATTATTAGATAATATGCTTTCTTCCAGAGGCATCGGTAATTTTCATGCACTAGTGCAATTATTATAACCGAAAAAGGGTTGCGAGGTTGGGAGTTTGCGATGACAGATTCATATACATACATACTTTAAGACGAATAATAAATATATTGAATAAATACAGAAGTTCAGAGTCATTGCCACATAATGTTCAAGAAATGAGCGACAATGGTAGATTTCGGGAGGAAAACGACTACTTTCCTGAGTAATGCCACACAGCACATTGAATTGTATCCTCCCGAAATCGACGCGTATAAACGAATACTGATACAATTGGTTCTTTTCTGAATGCCCATTGATTTCGATTTAGCCAGGCCACGATCAACACCTATACGGACCGGTTACGAAGTCCAGCTGGCTGTTGACTACCCTGCACTGACGGGAGTCTGTAAACAGAAGAGAACTAGTGCTCAATGCAAAATATGTCAAATCGCCTTCTTTATTGAAATTTTTGGACGGTTTCATACATGAATTATATATTTTCATGATAATTCCTCAATGAACATTTCTGAATGAGAATAATTTTTTTATTGTTATCTCACACTTCCACATACTGGTATGACGTTCATACCAGTTAGCATTCTAACGAGTCTTGGAGGTCCGCTGGTAAAATGGTGTTTCTACTAGCGTGCGAAAAAATGCACTTTCCCGTGTTGAAAGAGTCAGTTTTCCGCACTGAGTGTGGAAAAAAGTTTTTTCCGCACTCAGTTTTGGAAGCGGCTAGACCTGCAAACTTGGATTTACTACCATCAAAATCCCGTCACAGGTATGAAAAAGAAAATAATTTGTTTGAAAACTGGTGCCAGAATAAGGGAATCAAAAGTTTCAAAGAAGACGTTTTTTTAGCTTATTTCGCTGAAATTTCCAAAACATGCAAGCCAAACACTCTTTGGTCAAGGTACTCAATGTTAAAAAGTGTAATCAAACTAAAAAAAAAACTCGATTTGAGCACGTTTTTTAAGGTCACGGCATATTATAAGAAAACAAAACATTGGCTTTAGGCCAAAAAAGGCAAAAATTTTCTTGAAAGAAGAAATATTCCAGTTTATAAATGAAGCACCTGACGAAATTTATCTTCATAAAAGTATTTAAAAATGAATCTTCCGTCATGTTAACACTTGGATTTTTTCCGCATGCTAGTAGAAAAAAGGGTCGTTCGACCATCTGCAATCGCGTGCATAAAAGTGTCACTTTCCGTACTTGTTAGGTAAACTACTATTATCATTGTTTTTTCCAAATATTTGAATATTGGAAAAATCCAAAATGCATCCTCAATCAATATTTCATATAACGATATTGACTTTTTTGAAAAAAATATAGTTATTTATTATACAAGGGGAAAAAGTAGTAGATTTTAGCTCCAGGTCCAAAAAACCGTGAGCTAATATCTAATATTTTTCCCGTGTATAATACACTATTTTTTTCTGTGACAGAAGGAAAGAGGAATCAATATTGAGAAGATATTACATTATTTCGAAATCGGAAAATTATCGACGTGAAATTTAATTTTTTTTACAGTAGGGACACCTGCGTTGTAGGCATATTCATCATTCTTTTGAAGTAATAGAATATCTCAAATATCTGATGTCACTTCTGTCAGTCTTATGTGAGTTGATTTCGAAAAATTGCCAATTTAGTGGTTGTGTTGTTAAGTAATATACGTAACCGCGAAGCCGAATGGAAGATAAAAGGACTTGCAGTTATTTCTCGGAGCCATCAACAGTGTATATATATATGTGTTATATATCCGGGAAAAAAGTACTCGCTTTTATTCTACGGGAAAAAAGTAATTGATAAAAAGTGACATTTTATAACATGCCAACAGAGATGAAATGCCAAACTTTTTTCCCGTCACAAAAAAACATTTTTTATACAAAATTTTTAGCGTTAAAGGGCTAACCTACCATGGACAGCCAGTGACAGTGGATGAAAATGATGAGAAATGATTATTATTTCATTCGATTGCAATTTCGATTCAATGTTTATGATTTCTCATGTACCAAACAACTTTTTATTGCTAGTTCCTCATGTCATTGAAACGATGTACAATGGTTATACTTATTCAATATCAATGTCAAGGATGGAACCACTGCGCAGACGATTTTTTCATACCAGTTTCCTTCCAAATCAAACAACATTCGACTATAAAGATATTAGTAGGTAGATGCTCGTGACATTCCACGATATTTGCACAGAATAAATAAATACTTCCACCATCTGAGGTTTATTATTGATAATCTAATCTTGAATAATGTCTCTTTATATTTGACACAAGTCGCAGTATACATAGTGGAAGGAACTGTGAATAGTGATTTTTTTCCTTCTTTCAGAGATACACTTCTATCATGAAATGGAGGTAGAAGAGAAATACTTCCTAGAATGAGCCCAGCCAAACCAGAAACAAGAAAAGGATGCGTCCGTGCACCTCACTTCGATATACTGTAAGTTGATATAGTTAACCATGGAATCACTTGCTCAAAATAATCGCTAGGGACCTTTAGCATGCTTATCGCTACGAATTCCGATTACTGTCTAGGCCCTATAACCTCTGGTGTACACACTTCAATCCTTACGTGTTTTACAAATCCTTGATTTTCGCATACTTCGATAAATATAACATGGCGTGGTAGAATCTCGCTAAGTTAAGTCTGGTACCGTACCAAAATTACAGGCATGAATGTGACAATTGTGACCGAATGGTGACCAATGGAGATATGGATTACATTTTGAGAACATAAGTCCTCGGAATCACGCCATCTAACATTGAATATGTGAACCCCACATCATCGTCTGAAATTCAATTATATATATCAAGAACCAGTCTGACGAAACAAATGAAGAGTGAGAGCACCAGAGGTTTATTTCATCAATAGGATGACCATAAATTGAGACGTATCACAATAAGTGAGCATCAGTGTGCTTTGTGTATAAGTTTGTTTAGAACACAATTTCGTCAGATATACAATAGTATGTGTGACGAAGATATCGTTGTACAGGTGATCTCGGAAACAGAAGGAGATACGAATTCGGTTGAATGGAAAAAAGTTGCATATTCCGAGGGTCATACCAACGGCTTTAGAAAAAAAATATGTTCACCGTCATTATTAGAGAAACAGAAAAACTAAAAATATTTCTCCAACTTCTGATCAAATTTGACGTGGGACATCAACTCATTTTTTTGTAAATATGGTCCTGGTGATGAGTTAACAGATAGTATTTTTTTATTCTGAATTCAACCATCAATTATTCAAAGTCGTTTGCAAGTGTTTTGACCTAGTTTTAGCACTCTCCGATGTCTCTCCAGAATAACAGAAAAGAAATACCACCTGTTTTATTCATTTCTGATCATTCAGTGTCAAACATTGATGAAGTAGTTAATCAATACTGAAAAAGTTGGAAACCTATAATTCATAAATTATTCAATGCAGCGCTCCAACTTATTTCAAGTTGATAGATTCTTACCCAAATTAGCTTGAAAACCAATCTCATCCTACAGTCCCTTGGCCGGCGCGATCGCCTGATTGGACACTGCTGGATTTTTCTTTAGGGATACGTTGAAAACTCTGTACACGCAAATAATTTTGATAGCGACTAAGATCTGATGAAGGAGAGTGTTATCGGAGCATTCAATAGAAATACTCCAAATGTGCCTAGAAATGTATAAGCAACTGTAAAAGAAGAGGATATCTTCGTTAAGAAAATAATGATTATAATTTTGTTATGAATGTTAATTTTTTCGATTACTGTTGGTGTTGTCAAATATAAGTTTACAAGGTAATTCGTGTACGAATCCCTCAACATAAAAAATTCGAAGAGCTGCATTAAATCATCTAGTGAAATATTGTTTTCTAACTCTTAAGTATTGAATAACACCCAAAAATGGGTGGAACTGATGGTATTTCGAAAAAACATTGATGTTGGCTGAAACTAGATCGACACACATTCGAACTACCTTGTATAATACATGGTTGGATTCAGAATAAAAAAAGCTTTCATAATCTGTGAACTCATATCAAATGTTGCTATAGAAAAGTATGTTCCCTTTTCACCGGGTGACACTGACTTATGGTATACCCCCCTTTTCTCCTTTGTTTTTCTAGCTATACCTTTGAAATTTTGAATATGGAATATGCTCACTGGAGGGCACTTTCTCACAATTCAGAATTTTTTATCTTCCGGTTTTTCTGGAAATTATATCAACTTTCGATATTCAAATGGAACATCCTGTATTTATTTCCATAATCGGCTAGAGAGTATTATGACGAATTCAACAATACCAGATTTGATCGGGTTATTTCGAATGATTACGAAGATATTCGCGTTCAAAGTTTCCATAAGCTCAATGAATCTGACAGAGATGGAAGTTTTGATATTGCGCCGTCACACCCATTGAGCTTATGGAAACTTGTGATTATCGCTAACCGATTATGAAATGAAATTCAAGGTGTTCCATTGTGTTACAATAAGTAGGTTTCAAACACGAACGAAGGGTTGAATAGATGTTCAATCAGCAGCGAAAAATATAACGTCTAAGACTAATCGTAAGATATAACAACTGATTAACGTTGACTACACTAACAAATTTCATTTTCACCAATTTCAGATTTTTCTCACATCGACAAAATAGACATACAGAGTCATGAAATATAGAAAATCAACATTCAATACATTGGAAAATCGAAAGTTGATGTAATTTACAGCAAAACCAGAATATTAAACAAAAATCCGGAAATTTAAAAAAGTGTCCTCTATAGAGTGAGCATATTCGCTATTTCAAATTTTCGAAATATAGCTAGAAAACCAGAGGGGAAAAGGGGGTGTACCATCAGTCTGTGTCGCGCGGTATCTAATAGTAACTTAGATGCTGCTACTTTGCTGTCTATAGGGAAACAAATAGTTATTTTTCAAAAATTCAGAATTCAAAATTCAAAACATATCCATATAATTGGTTAAAACAGATATGTATGATATAAGATGCGTCAGAAAATGTGAAACACAATGTTTTATCAATGAATAATAAATGACACCAAATAAAATAAAATTACAATTTAAATCGAAATGTCTGGTATAGCGTCCACACTAAAACAATGTTGAAACAACAAGGAATGTTAATTCAACTCGATTACAGTTTTGGTTCACTGGGAAAATACTGATTTAGTGGATAATAAACTTCATCATGATCAGAAGTCTGAATCTTGAACCACCCTGTATTTGTTTCAAATAAATGTCAGTAGATAGTAAATCAAAAGTTGAAATAGGGACATAAAAGCCGTTTTGACCAATAATAAATAGTTTCGACTCAAAAAAATCCTAAAGTTGTAAAATCTCGATTTTGAACACCCTTTATCTCTGTAATCATTCCTGCTAGACCCCAAGTGTGATACATTGATAAAATCAGCTTTTCAGGGAGAACCTAAAAATGCGATAAAATACAGGGTGTTCCATTTGAAATAACAAAGTTGTTGCTTCTTTTCGTTAGAAGCGGCAACGCCGCGGGGTTGAAAATATTTTAGAACCATGTCCCCCTCGAAAATGAAGTTGACGTGTCTCGGGATTTTTGAAAACATACACACATTTCGAGAAAATCAGGGTGGGAAGTCCTGAAATGAACACCCTGTATAGCACTGCTTAGGCGATAATGAGGAGTGCATATTCTAGTTTTTTAACGAGTATCATAACTGTGGACATCTTGGAAGGTTTCATATTGATTTATTCTACTTTTCACATACATTGAGCATGCAAAAATATATACTGAGATAACGGTGATTAGGTTGAATTTGATAAAAAGCTCTTTGCATGAGTGCCTCTGAGGTACTCTAGCAATTTGCCGTGAATTACCCCAACAGATCACGCTGTACGATAGCTTTGGGTAGCATTGGCCATAGTATGGCATGAGTAGAGTAGAATCACTGACATGCGGTCTGAGTTTTTGAAACAAAGAAGAAAGAGAGTTCAAGGTTCAACATAAGTGCCTCAGTATGTGAAACTCAGCTCAGTTTGGAGTCGAGTTGAATGCCGAAAAACTTCGTACTATTCAATTGTTGTATACTACTCCCATCATTTGATCTCACTATAGGATTCTATAGTCTAAGAGGTTCATTTCTGATTTCGAAATGGATAATATGAGATTTTTCATTATTTATACTAAGACAATTTTGTTTTGACCATTCATTCATTTCAGACTTTATATTTTGTTGTTGTTATGAAATTGGAGTCGTCCGCATAAAGAATTGGTAAAGTTTCAGCTAGAGCAATACTTGGCGAATCATTGTTCATGATAAGGAACAAGCATAGATTAACGACTCCCCGAAGGAGGTTGGAGATAGTAAAATGCCTTGAGGTAACCCGATGGTAGTCGAAATGATGGTGAATTTCACACCATTGGCATGTACAATTTGTTGGCGATGGCAAAGATATGATTTTATCCAGCATATTGCTGGACCCCGTATTCCGGTTTTGTCCATCTTGAAGAGCAATATTTCATGTTGAACCAAGTCAAACGCCCGACTAAAGTCAAAAAATAAACACACAGTATCTTCCTTACTATCTAATGATTCTAGTGTGAATTTCACACTTTCATAGATTGCCGTTTCTATACTCCTCTTTTTCAAAAATCCGTGCTGAAATGGAGTCAGGATCTTATTTCTGTCTAGAAAGTTATTTAGTTGTAATAATAACACTCTTCAGAATATTTTGGACAATTGGTTTTGCACTGCTATGGCTCTTTACTGCGATAAATCAGCACTTGATCCATTATTCTTGAATGCGGGCGTTATTTTTGATTTCTTCAATATTTTTGGGAATTCACCGTACTCCAGAGATTCATTTATCGAATATAACAAATGTTTTTTCTTCGTCGAAGCATTTTCTGATAATGAATCCGAGTGCTCCATCACTTCCTTCAGACTTTTCCGCCCTGAGAGACATTACTATATTTTCTAATTCAGTTTCCGAAACTGGACGATCAAATATACTATTTGGTATTTATTCACTTTTATATTGCATTTCTTCCGTAAAATTCATGGTATCAACGTTGCAGAAGACTGAATTGGAAAGATTTGCAATTTCAGTTCGGACCCTAAGTGTCTCACCCAGTATATTCTTTATTTCCGAAATACCATTAGTTTTCCTTGTGTTCTCGCGATGACTATTTATCACTTGCCATGTAGCTCTCGTGTCTTATTCCCAGCGTTTATAATAAAGTTTTCGGTTTGATGTTTTTCGTTTCACTGAATAGTCTGTGATATAAGATTGATAAGCATTGCCCATAGTCCAAATGACACAGATGACACTTTACTGGCATGAAAGGACCCCGCACATTTAGTACGGAAAATGGCTTTCGGCTAATTTTTCTGAAAATTTGATATGTTTCAGATATTAGCGTCCTCATTACACAGTCCAATTTACAGATCGAGCTACAGGGTGTCAATCATTTGATTTG